ACTTTTGTGTAAGCAGGTACTCATTAACTCGCTCCTTTTGTTTAACATATTGGTGTTGCTCATATTTTTTACGATCATTAACTTCTCCGAAAGACATAAGCTACATTTATCGACTTTCCTATTAAAAGGATTAGCTTTTGTTATGTAGTCCCAGGTGATAGTTGGGTTTCTATTCTCACTTTTTATTTTTTTCAGAAAAATTTAGAAGACAGTGCTGTTTCTATATTTAATATTGCCTTATATCCTTTGATGATGGTAGAAGTGTGATTTCCAATGGTTTTCGGTAAAACCAACATAAACCAATCTCGTCACCATATTTGATGTTAGCTTTATAAACTAATGCCTTATTCGTGCATCTGCCGCTTAATTGACAGGGTTTGTTTTTTCGGCAGTTGCATTCTTTAGTGGTGGGAGATGTTTTTGGTTGGTTTAGAATAACATTGTTGTACAGTGATTGGTCGATGTTTTTAGCACAGCTATAGCTAACTTTGACGTTGTTTTTATTGAAATTCTTTTTTAGCGTTGGGGAATGATAGTATACAAGAAAAGTGAATAGAAATTAACGCTGATATTGAAATCTGAGCAAAATTAGTAAAAAAAATAAAGTATTACAAAAATAACTGTAAACAACTGAAACAATCGAATTATTTTCATTTTGAATACTGATTTATACACACTCCTTTTTATTCCAGTGTTAGGAATAATAATTCTACCGAGGTTATTCTAATTGACAAGCCTTAAACTCTATGCGATCTATCACAGAGAATGCAGACTTACTTAACAATAAGTTGACATTCGGTGAAATTCTAAGGACTTAATCGACCATTGGTCAGAAGCCAAATGATCTAAATCTTATATTTCAAATTTCTGCCAACAAGAAACAATAACTGCAACTCACAGACACTAACGGCATCCAACTTGATTTTGTTATTAAGATAAAATGCGGATATTTTATTCCGTCTTATGTAAACTGCTTTTCATCATAAAACAGTTTCTTTAAAAAAAAAAATAATGGTTTTTATCTTTTTAATTTAATGTCACGTGATTGCATCTATCTAGGATGTCTAGGATAATTTCGATAGAATTTCGCCACGACATAGACTTTGTTATTCCAATAATTGAAAATCAATCAAACTTTTCAAGTATCTGAGTCAGGTTTTTAATGATTTTCTTAACACAGTCCTCATTAAAACATTAACGGTTAATTTACTAATTTAATTTGCAGCTGATAGGATCAACTTTCTATTAAAATCTAACGAACTTTCTCGCAAAATCTGACTCTTAAAATCATCCAATATTCTGCAGAATGATGGTCTGAATTTAAGAGAATAGTTGCATCTACGGATTACTATAGTTCAGTAATCCAGACGACATTAAAATCACCATATATGGTATATCTCTAATATACAATTAAAACTGGATCAAAGAAAAAAAACACTTGTACTGTTGGCAGTAAATGGTATTAGGTTGTAAAAGAAAATATCCTTCTTTGGTTTCAATTGATATACTGAATCAAAATAATATATTCCTCTCATTATCATTAACATAATCTCATCTATTCGTCACGTTTCCATCTATCTGTCGCAAAATTATTCAGGTTTCGGTGCAAAGAAACATTCAATATCAACTTTAACTTCTTCTTAAATGGTTTCCTATCGGAAAAAATGCGGTAATGTTCTGAGATATGAAAATGTCGCTCGAAACTAAGAAAAGAGAGCTATGTAATATTTAATTTCCTATATGGCAGTAAGTGATGGACAATGTTGTCATGCCTTTCACAAACTAAGAAAAGTATTAAGAGACAGGAAAATGTCGTTAGAAACAAACAAAAGAGAGCTGAACTGCTATGTAATATCTAATCTCTTATATGGTAGTGAATACTGGACAACCTCCTCATGCCTTTCATAAACTAAGCAAAGTATTAAGAAATAGCATAGCAGTTCAGCACTCTTTTCTTTTCAATCCAGAGGGTACAATGACCGAAACGTTCTGATGATAATCATAGGGATGAGGATATTAGTGTGAAGATGAATAACATGAATAGCCGGAGCTTGTTTTCTTAAACAAAATGGCTCCCTTGTTTATAAATTTCGATGAATATGAGAAAAACATAAGAATCAAACCCTGTTCTCTTGGAAAAAAGCCTAAATCGGACTTCGAAAACCAAAGGATCTCCATGCCTTTGTACACAACATTTGTAAAAAAAAAAAAAAAAAAATACAGTCAAAAAAAAGGAAAGACTGTCTTAATACAAATGCTTTAAATGCTTGAGTATCGGGTCAGAATTTGAATCAATGTAGACAGGAAATGATATTTTACAAGCATGAAAATCATATCTTATAGGTATGAAAGTGATATTTTACAGGCACGAAAATGATATTTTACAGGCATGAAGATGATTTTTTATAGACATGAAAATTATATATTACAAGCATGAAAACTATATTTTCCAGACATGAATATTCTTTAATCATTTCACATCAAGCAAGGCGGTAATGTCGCTAGTACTCAGTGGCTTACAGAGAGTGAAAGTGGGAGAAAAGATTGGGTACAGAGAGGAGGGACTGAAGAAAGGGTAAAAGCTGAACAGGGTTCAAGGAGATAGAAGATGGAGATTGAGGTTGCATTTAAATTTTCGAAGATTGTAATTATCAGTGAAGCAAGTAAACGGAAGAGAGTTCCATGGGTGGGAAGTGCAAGAAAGAAACTGTTGGAGTAGAAATGGCGGTTACATTTAACTAATTCAACAGTAAAAGGGTGGGACCTAGATGCGAATCTAATGGCACGCTTATTCTCACGTAGTCCGGGCATCGGGGAAATAAGCTCGTCAGCGCAAGTAGCCATGAAAATATTCTAAAAAACGACAAAGCGAAGCAACATCACGTCGGTAAGAAAGTGACTAAAGTCAAGATGCCAAGTCAAGATACTTTTTTGGATTTCGTCAAGAACCTCTAGATGAATAGCAAGAGCAACAAACCAGATATGACAACAGTATTCAATGCACGAACGAATGGTAGATTTGTAAATGTGCAAGATGGACTCTGATGAGAAAAACCTTCTGGCACGTTACAGTGACCTAACTTTCCTTTCAGTAGATGCAGCTATTGCTTCATGTCAGTTGAAAACGTGAGGCCAAGTGTGCACAATGTATTATTCTCCATGGGTCTAGCACCAGCCATGCTGATGGTGACAGGAAAGTATTTCTGTGGTGGTTGAATGAGAGCAGCTTCATTTTTGAGGCATTAAAATTTACAAGCCATTTCTTGCTCCAGTTAACCACAGATTAAAATTCCTTTTCAAGAACAACGGCCCGGTTAACTTTGTCAACTCTGACGGATTTTCTATTGAAATAGGAGTAAATGGCAGTGTCATCAGCATAAATGCCTACGTGGAAAGTGATGACGTCAGGAAGATCACTGGACCCAGGATAGAGCCTTGATGCATACTCGCGGTCGTGTAAAAGGATCTGGAAGCGAGCCATTTCAAAATGAACTTCATTTCACGATTTGATGAGAACGATTGGATTAAATCAAACAAACGTTCAGTAATACTGTAGTCCTAGAACTTACTTAGAAGACTAGCGTGACAAACCCTGTCAATCGCCTTCGAGATATCTAGAGCCACAGCTCGAGCTTCCCAGTTATTATCAAGAGCTTGATATCCATATTCAGTGATGGCTGTAAGCACATCGGCAGTAGACCTGGCAAAACGGAAGCCATATTATTTATCAGAGAGTAGGTCGTGAGAAGTAAGATACTTAACTACTGAGTCATATTTTCCAGGCATGAAAAAATTTTTCACACAAGCATCAATAAGATTTATGATTGAAAATAATTTTTACAGTCGCCAGTCTAATCGTAAAATAGCAATATTCTTCTTTGATCTTTAAGATCTGTTACACTTTCTTTTAGTTTCATGGTAGCGACTTTTCACAAGAACATATCTGAGGGACCATTCTGTATTCCCTGGTCCAACATATCTGAGGGACCATTCTGTATTCCCTGGTCCAACATATCTGAGGGACCATTCTGTATTCCCTGGTCCAACATATCTGAGGGACCATTCTGTATTCCCTGGTCCAACATATCTGAGGGACCATTCTGTATTCCCTGGTCCAACATATCTGAGGGACCATTCTGTATTCCCTGGTCCAACATATCTGAGGGACCATTCAGTATTCCCTGGTCCAACATATCTGAGGAACCATTCTGTATTCCCTGGTCCAACATATCTGAGGGACCATTCTGTATTCCCTGGTCCAACATATCTGAGGGACCATTCTGTATTCCCTGGTCCAACATATCTGAGGGACCATTCTGTATTCCCTGGTCCAACATATCTGAGGGACCATTCTGTATTCCCTGGTCCAACATATCTGAAGGAGCATTCTGTATTCCCTGGTCCAAAAAGGTATAAGGAGAACTCTGTCCTGGATCGATTGGCTCAGTTTTGGGAAAGATAAACATTAAATTGTGTTATACTACACAATCATGGTGAATGATAAAGCTAATATTAACCGAGCAGCCAGTGTGAGTTACGCTTTTCTTCACTTCCTGGCAATCGGACAGGGATCATAGTGTAGTATCTGTTCACCTTATCTATAACGGTAATGGTAATATTAGCCATTTACTTATATGGAAAAATTCAACATTCATTGACCAAGCAGACAGTGCTACTAAAGTTACGCTTTTCTTGATTTTCAGGACATCAGGCTGGAATCGAAGTGGAGTATCTGTTCTCTTCATTTCTAATTGTAATGGTAATATTAACCGTCTCCTTATAAATAAATATTTGATATTCATTGAATGAGAACCTGGTGTCGGTTGAAATTTATAAAGTCTTTCCATTAAAACATTTCTTCTGAAAAATACGTTTATCAAGTTCACCCACTGTTATCGCTCTCTTCACTGTTCGTTGTGGGTGGGATTCCTTTCTAATCTTTTGTCCAATGTTGCGTGGGAGGTCAACATCTTCATTATGTCATCATTTTCTTTTCAGTTACATACACTATACATTTTAGGAGTTACAAGATCTCAAGTGACGTGTTATCTGGTAGATGTTTTAGTTACTCTTTAGCGCCAGTCCACAAAATAACGAAGAAGGATTATCCTTACTAAGATCTAAAGTCGTCATTCGCCCGAAGTCACTTTTATTCATTGATTTGAGAAAAATGTTGTATAGCCATGGTGAATAAACAGACTAGGGTCATACGAGCCGTCTGTCCCACAGTTGATGCTCAATGTCAGATTAAGTTGATTGATTTGTATAGAGCTGACAATCTAGATATTTCTGTACGGGTCTGGCGACATGTATAACATCCATATGAAAATCTCGATCTGAACCGTGTTTTTAGTTTAATGTTTTGGTTTTATAGTAACTCGCAGTGTTGGGTAAAACCTACCCCTAGGCCAGATATAATAAATCCTTATTGGCCAATAAATGTGTGAATGATATCGATCGATTATTACATCATATTAGGATGCGGAATATGGACATAAAAATGACAAATGAAGGTTCATAATGAAAAGAGAATAAATAAATGCCAATCAAGAACTTTGAATGCTTACGTGGATTAATTGGACACCTGCTGTAGAGCGAACGTAAGGAAGACATTGCTACTATCGGTGATACTGTTAACATGACGAGTTCAAACCTCAATAGGTGCTCTTTATTTTGTCATATTAGCCGTCTGTATCACAATTGATGTTCAAAGTCAGATTAAGTTGATTGATTTTACATAGTGTTTCTTGAGTTATTTAATATCGAATTTTGTTTTATTCATCTCTAACTATTGGTTCAGTATCGTCGATTTACTTCCTTATCATTTATCATTCAAACATTTTAACAACATTTGTCTATCATTTTATTCTTTTATCATTTTCTTATTTATTGATTGAAAGTTAACATTTTTATGAACGCGGACGTATTTTCAGATTTGTTGAAAAAGCGTTTCAAGCCGTAGCGTTATTTCGTTTTGTTTCGCACTTTTATTATTGATTTGTAATAGTCAATTTCTTATTTATCTTTCAAATATTTTTAGCAAAACTTTTTTTTTTATATTTGATGATAATTTTATAGTTTTATTCTTTTTCTTATTTATTATATCATTATATTATTATCATTTAAAATATATATCATAATAATTCTTGAAGTGGTGCATTTGATGATGAACATCCAGTGTAATACGTACATATATATATATATATATATATATTCGTCTGCGCGTGTGAATCTGTGTGTTCATGCGCATATATATAATATGTATGTGTGTGTGTTATTTATTATTATCGCTACACAATAGCTTTCATGTTTCAGCACTCAAAATGTGCTTCCTCAGGCGATAGTAAAAAATTGTTGAGTTAAAAATTATTTTTATTTTTAAATTTCAAAAACAGATGAAAACCCTATAACAACTATATACAACAATATATATATATATATATATATGTGTGTGTGTGTGTGTGTGTGTGTGTGTGTGTGTGTGTACACTGAGAAGGGATAAACTCTTAGCATTAGGTCTTTACGGCTACATTTAGCCAGCTCAAATGTAAATTTGGTGAGATCTCGATGCCTGTCTATTGCTGCGTTTAAAATCAAAAACTCTAGGTACCATAGCGAAGGGCTCATTCGAACAATTACCATGGAAATATTTATAGAAAAGACATAGAGAGGCAACCTTACGGCGGTTGAAATGTGACTGGAGCCGAGCTACTATATCAGGACCAATAATATTGCAGATTCTTCTTTAAATCTTATCAAGGAGCTCAAGCTAAATAGCAGGGGCACCGAATCATATGTGGCAGCAATATTCTAAGCGTGGTATGTATCGTTGTTATATTGATCGCCATTTTACTATAAAAATGCATTGTTAATTTTCATTGGGGATTTACTATTTGCCCATAGCTGGGACCCTATCAGGTGCTACTACCGCGAATTAGACATGAACCAGGGAACAACAGCACTTAATGGTTCCACGCCCCCCCCTCAAAGCCTCCAATCTTCCGATCAGAGACTTTGCTGCCGTCATAGCAAGCACGATTGAAATAAACAATAAACAATTAATCTTTATATCTTATATATGAAAATAAAGAATAAGCAGCCCAGCAACTCCTGAACAAGTTCTATCAAATTAATGGCACAACAGTTGCCAAAAATCATTTTAATAAGTTTGTAAGTATTCTGGAATGCCTATACAATTTTGATAATTGCTTTATTTTCCCCGACTGACAGAAATTAATATTCTCAGTTGTATGCTGATTGAATTCCAACTGTCATTTAAAAATACTTCAACGTATTTCCATTAAAATTTCTTTATGCAAGTAGGACTGGTTGTTGGAGTTGAATTTGTTTTGTTTATTGAAAATATACGCGTCTCAATATATTGCTGATACGCGTGTATTTTCTTTTTGCTCTATTGTTTTTGGTCCGTTGTGCTCAAAATATCCAACTTTCCTCGATCGAGTTCTGACGAGTGAGGAGCGATAACCGGTTAACTCATTCCACATGTGTCATATAGGAAGAAAATGAATAACTACCGACACCGAGGTTCGAGCGTGACCCTCTAGCCTTATGAATGCATGTTTCCACCAGGTGTATGAATAGCGGTGTCAGGCTACTGACTGCATTGATTATTGAGTGGAACTATCCAGTCGAATTAGTGTGAATTATTGTGCATCGATAATTTGAGTTTTTATTTAGGATTCACCGGACGTTAAGCCGATCCGAGCTACTAACAGGGTATTCAGTGAAATGGTTAATTATCTTTCGTTGACTTTTACTTCTTTGTTCTTATTAAGTATTTATATGCGGTTGTAATTAAAAACTGTTTTATCGAAACATGGAAGTCTTGAGTTATACTTAATTATTAACGGCCACCGTACGTCGCAAAAACAATATTATTTGTTCCTCTCTTTTTGCTACTAATTTCGTATTGCCAACTATCATAGTTGTTGCTTTTCTCCTTTTTGTTGCTTTATAATTATGTCCATTTCTGTTGCTTTAATTAGATTGTGTAACTCTAATACAGAAGACACGGTGTTTATAGCAGACACGGGAAAGACACTACAAAAGGTTCTACAGAAGGTAACAAAGGAAAGCGAGAAGAAAGGACTAAGTGCAAACTATATGAAGACAGAATGTATAGATATCAGTAAAAAGATGATTCCAAAATACAAATTACAAATCGGGGATACTGAAATGAAACACGTACAGAAATTTAAATATCTGGGAAGTGTTTTAATAGAGGACAGAAAGTGCGACACTGAGATTCGAACACGTATTGGGATGACCAAAGATGTATTCCAAAAGCTAAGCAAGTTATTATGAGACAGAAAAATTTCGTAAGAAACATAGAAAGGAGTACTGGATTGTTAAGTGATATATGTCCTCCTGTATGGCAGCGAATGTTGGACATTCTTCTCAAAGATAAAAAACAGACTTGAAGCAAGAGAAATGTGGTTCTACAGAAACATAATGAGGATAACATGGACCGAACAACGAGGTTTTGTAGAGAATGGAAACAAAAAGGAAACATACTTAACATCAGGAAGGGGCAGTTGAAATATCTGAGGCACTTAATAAGGAAAGAGCTATTGGAAAATCTGATACTCACAGGACAATTGAGGGACAGAGGAAAGCAGCGTGTAACATACTTGATGATCTTAAGCAAATGGATGACTGAATAGAGTTTTGGAGAAATAACGAAAAGACATAACTTGTTGAGAGTTACAGTGGACGGGAAGATGTGGAGGGCCATGATCGCCTACATCCTGAAGGAATATGGCATATAAAAGAAGAAGATTATCTCTAATAAGATCTCCAGTTTTCTTTTTCAAACATTTCAGCATGCCAAAACCAAAATACCCTGACGTTATACACGGTGAAGCTATCTCGAAACAATTTTTTGCTCCGTGAAGCAGATGGTGTTGAATTCCGTACTTATTCAAATTATACATCTGACCAACAAATCAATATATGCCGTTCCGTCAATTTTCCTACTCCCCAATTATGTTCCCCTGTCTGTTATATGAAACACACCCTAGAAAAGTGTTAATGTGTAAAGACCTTCTTTAGTTAGGCTTCGTCAGGAAATGAAATCAGTAAGCCGAGTTCAACACACACACACACACACACACACATATATATATATATATATATATATATATATATATATATATATATATATATATATATATGAAGAAAAATATACGGAAAAAACTAGCAAAAATCCTTATATGCAATTATGCTGTTTTAATGTTAATATAATGTCAACGTCGGACGTTTCGGTCTAATAAACCATCTTCAGGACATATTCATAAAATATAATTAACATTATCAATTCAACATGACAAAGAAGATGGGCATAATGCTAATTATATTTTATGAATATGTCCTGAAGATGGTTTATTAGACCGAAACGTCAGACGTTGACATATTAACATTAAAACAGCATAATTGCATATAAGGATTTTGTTTGTTTTTTCCGTATATTTTTCTTCATACTGTCGGATCTATATCCATATATTTGCTTACCTATATATATATATATATATATATATATATATATATATATATATATATATATATATTCTGTTTATACATTATTTTTCCTATACGAAAACCGTCATTTGGCCTGAGCTGCTATATAGCATTTACCTTCAGAGACGCGTTTGGTTTGGTTTGGTTTGGTTTGGTTTGTTTTACGGCATATCAACACCTCAATGGCTTATTTAATGCCGACAACATTTTTATTGCTGGTAATATTTTTTTCTAAAAATGTATTGCTGGTAAAAAATTTTTCCTCAAAAATCTATTGCTGGTAATAATTTTTTCCTTCAAAAACCTATTATTAAAACCTATTTTTACATTTTCATAGTATTTTGACCCATGGTTGGATTTTAACTATTTGCCCATAGCTGGAACCCTGACAGGTGCTACCACCCCTGGTCAGGGTGGACCTGGGAAAACCAGCAATTAAGAGATGGTTCCACGCTCCTCAAAGCCCCCTGATCAAAACCTTTCTGCTGCACGTTAGTTTATCGCCTTACCCAGGACGCGGACGTTGTTTATCGTCTTACCCGGGACGCGGACGTAGTTTATCGTCTTACGCAGGATGGAGAAGCGTTTGGTTAGCAAAGTCGGAATTACTGTTTATAAATAAATAATCTTCGACGATTTTTCCCGATCGATCATGTCTGCTCACGAAACATATCTTAACGTAAACATTGACAATATATTATAAAATGGATTAAGACTGACAATTACTTAATATATTTTCTGTCTATCTATAAAACATAACGTAGCTAAATGGTATAGCACGTCAGATCAAGTGATGGTTTCAGTATAGGAATGCAGGTTCCATTCCTGTCGGAGAATGCATATTTTGTACGAAATTTCTGTACATTCACCCCGGTAAATATAATTAATACTGTTATAATTAAAAACATAACATTTACTTAAATAAACTGTATCTATACAAATAACGTATAAACAAAAAACATGTTAAATAATTGTCGGACTTAATCCATTTCATATATATATATATATATATATATATATATCAGTGAACATTGAATGAAATACGACAGACTGTTTCATGCTAAATGCAATCATCAGGCCACTGTCACCTCTTAAAGTTGACTTCAGTGTTCACTTTTATATTTATATTTACATATGCTCTATCTCTGATATTGAGCACTTTATCCTATAAATATAGCATACCTTAAAACTATATATATAAATATATATATATATATATATATATATATATATATATATATATATATATATATGGAGAGTGAGAGAGACAATGTAAAAGAGAGTGGGGAGTGTGACAAGGCAGACAATATACAGTGCAGTGGTTGGATCAAAGTTCGCAGTCTAATATATATTATTAGCTGAATATTTTATCTGACAATTGTGTAATAATTCGATGTTTGTGTTTAATATTAACTACTAAATTAGGCAGGAAGATATCATGTAGCAAAATAAATATTTCTTGAATAAAATAAATTGCGTTTATATTATTAGACTTATTAGTGTATGTACGTTTATGTAATCATTAAAATGAATAAAATTTAAAACGTTTTGGTTTAATAAATTCTGCCTGTGATATCGTGAGTTACATAAACATTTAATAATTTTAACAAATGCCTCTTTGTCAATATCGTATAAACCTGGCATTGTATATATACATAAAGTATGTACTCCGTATAAATTAATAATATGTACTTTTTTTGTTTTGTTTTTCTTTTATAAGCATCATATCGACTGTTTGTGATAGTATTAGTTATCCGTTACTAATCTCGGACTGTTATGAGCGTCACTTGGACATAAAAGCACAAATAACCAAATTGGTATTTCTAATCAGTATAAATGCTGACGGGTGCCATTTTAACGCCAGGACAACACATTGGGTTGAATGGGCTGAGTTGTCATGTGTAAATTATTCAGATCGATATTCATCGGGTTTCCCTAGTCGTGCTGATTAGACCTTTTTTTTTTTGCCTGCCTTCTGTCTGAACACGAACCAATAATGCCAATGAGGCTGTGTTTGGTCTTGCATCCAATCGAAAAGACGGTATACTGTCTTCATTATATTCTTGTTAGGCAATCTGATCGGGATCGACTGGCAAAAAAATATATATATATATATATATATATATATATATATATATATATATATATAATAACTGTAGGAGGCACGGCGGAGTAATGGATAGCGGCTTGGATTGAAGAATCGCAGAGCCGATATATATATATATATATATATATATATATATATATATATATATATAAAAAGTGAACATAAAGTCAACACTTAGGGCGACTGTTTCATGCTAGATGCAACTCTCAGGCCTGAAAATTGCGTCTAGCATGAAACAAACTGTCGCCTCTAAGTGTTCACTTCTATGTTCACTTTTATATTTACACACGCTCTATCTCTGATATTGAGCACTTTATCCCATAAATATAGCACATCTTAAGACTATATTTCTTCATATATATATATGTATATATGTGTGTGTGTGTGTGTGTGTGTGTGTGTGTGTGTTTAGACAGCAAATTCTCTTTTAGGCATGTCTGATTAAATGAATTACAGATATTATGTCTACTTATTTTTAGCATAATCCGTTGATATTCACGGATAATTTCCGTGTACTGCAAAGAATGATGCAAGACATGCACTGTAACAATGAAAATCTCTTTTATTTCCCAAAGTACTTTCCATCTCTTTATGAGATCATCATCAGGAGTGCAACTAGTAAGGCAAACAACTATGTGTACCTATCCATTACTGATTTTTTTTTTTTTTTTTTTGCGTTTAAATGCAACATTTAATGTGCGCTTGACCATGTTATTCCAACATAAAAGAAAAAATTCCATAGTGGATAATTTTTTCACGTTCTAATGAACGCTAAAGCATAACTATCAGCCATTGCATTTAAACCCAATTTAAATGCGTATTCCGATTGTAAGAAGAAATTTCAGCTTAGCTTTTCCTGCAAAACTGCTCGGATGCTTCCCTTCAAGTCAAAAGGTAATCGTTATCCTCATTATCCTCATAATATTCACTATCTACAACTCACTCTTTCATTCAAACCACACATTTATTTATCACAACCATTCCGAGAGTAATAATCTAGCTTGAGTGGCTCTAGAGCTTTTATTAGGTGAACATTAATAAAAAGAAAACAAATACTCAAGTGATTTTAAGCTATATACTGTAAAGTCGCCGTATACATTTGCTCAGTGAAGAAAACTACATTCTGTTGAAATCCATATTTATTCGACATACAAATTTTCGCAAACTCCTTATAAACAAAAAACGTCCTCTATCAACATTAATTCCTCGTGAAATTTAATACTTCGACAAAACAACAACAAAAAAAAACAATGAATGTTTCAGAAATCTAGAGGAATGGCTTTAAAACATTTAAATAACACATGCAGATGACAGTATCAATATAGCGAGGGAAAAAAAGAAAATCTCACTTGCAATCAGCCATATTTTTTTCTATTCATTTCATCCTGTTTCTCGACTAAATCACCTTTCGTCAGATCGATGATGTCACTTCATTTGGCCTGAGTCCAATAAATCGGCTGAACACCTTTTTTGTTGTTTTTACTTGATTTCTAAAGATCGATACCAATAACCAAATGGAATACAATCGGTCCTCATTCGTTATTATTATTATTATTATTATTATTATTATTACATCTACTACTACTACTGTTACTGCTACTTCTGATACATCCCTGTCTGAAATGAGTAACTTTTTTGATTTTTTTGAAGGTATTTAGTAAAATATTTGCCCATGTCTAAAAACAGATTTCTAAAATAGGGGAATTTTAATTTTTCGTAATTTAATGAAAAGTCATTCAATTGACGTTGGAATTTTTTTTTTCCCACAAAGTCTCAGGAACTAACAATATGCAGGAGTGAAATAAGGTTTATGTTTTTGCTATTTTTGAAGTCGGTCTTTGTGATACGACTTCGAAGAATATGGTAGAAAGTATGTTTTAAGTTAATTGTTTTACACTGTCAAATTTACCGAAATTCCATGTAGTATCTTATATATGAAAATTTTCAGACAGACAGATATTAAACAGGCTGAGAAAGAAAGAAAGAGACTGAGATATATAGTGATTTTTCCAAGCGTAGCTCAGATGTAGCACAAGGCCGAAAGTATGGAGCACCCAGTGAGGATCGAACTCACTACTTAATAATAGTATTTATTCTAGCGAGACAAGCTTGCTAACCATTACACCGTCTCGAGACTGAGATATATGGAGAGTGAATGAACTGAATGAGACAAGATTCTGATTCTGCTGTTCAGTTGATAATTGGGAATGGAAGCCCTTAAAATCATGATTCGAAATGCTATATCTTTTTTTTCAGATCGAACCCTGAATAATGACACCAATAGCATTCCCGCCTATCATATATATCTACAACGTAAACTTAGAAGAAGGAATTCATTCAAACCAATTTTATTAAAATCGAGGGAGAAATTCTGTTGGTTTTATTCGATAATACATTTTTTCAGTTTGTATTTGAGTTGTTTCACATCCGAATTAAACTTATGGAGAAAATATTCAAATTTCATAATATTTTGGGCCAAATATTTTGAGCATCTCTAGTCATTACCAGGAACGTTAACTTTTTTTTAGTTTCTTAATAACATTTTTAGAACGATACATTTCTAATTTAATGATAGATAGATAGATAGATAGATAGATAGATAGATAGATAGATAGATAGATAGATAGATAGATAGATAGATATCGGAGTCCGACAGAATACGATAAAAAACAAATAGGAAACATTTATAAATCTAACATCAAAGATGTTAAATAAACAAATCTTAACCTTTCCTCGACATCTTATTAATACCTAATAATAACAAATGGGATTATAGACTTTGTCGTAAAGCCACTAACAAAAACCATTTAATTAATTTCTATTCCTACCAGAATCAAAAAATCAAATCAGGATTAGTAATAAGATTTTGTCTCATGCCATTAGAATATGTGCTCCCAAATACCTAGGTGAAGGAGAGAATTACATTGAAAAAACATTTAGTCTTCTTTACTACACACATCATTTCATATTTAATGCTAGAAAACGAGCTTACAAAGTTCACAAAACCCCAAAACTAAGCACCACCGATAGCACTTTTAACAACGCAATAACATTCTAACATTCTTTCTACAAAACTTGTAAATGAATTAGTTATCCCAAATACTAGAATAATTACTACCACGTCCAAGGCACTCGGAGATACAATTAAAAAAATCCAACACCAATTCAGATTTCTATACTTATCAAATTAATTTCTTACAATGTAAAAACACTTAAATCGGCAAGATATTTCGAAATCAAAAAAAAATGTCTACGAACATAAAAGGAATTACGTTTAGACAATCATCAAAACTCGCTCGTAATGCACAGGAACAAAATTGGCCATAACTTAGATTTTACAAATGATACGCTAATAAAAAAGAACAATTCTTTAGGCCGAAAGTACTTCGAAGGATTAGTAATAAATATCTTACCAATTATAAAAGCACGCCAAAAATATTATATTACATCACCAACGTACATTGGATCCATTCTTAAAAAATCTAAGCATCTACATAAGAACGTCCCTAAATCAACATGCGAAAAACCAATTAAACATGTTTACTAGACACACACGCGCGCGCGTACGCTTATCAATATACATTATCATCTGAATCCCACATAGACATACTAGAATTATTATAGTGATTTTCATAAGCCCGGCTTAGATGTGGTACAAGGCCGAAAGTAAGGAGCACGCAACGAGGATCGAACCCACTACTCAATCGTAATTGATCAAGTAAGACAAGCTTTCTAACCATTACACCAACAAGGATTATTATACACTAGCATACAAAAAGCAATATTGACAGTTTTTCAGTTGGGTTTGGAATCCGTCAATCTCTTGGAGCTTCGAAGGGACGAGTTGTCTCTCCTTGAATTCAGAACGCCATAAATTATATCCACGTTTGTTTAAAAAATCAAATGGACATGAAATATGTTTAAACAATGAAAACCAAACAACACAAAAATAAAAAAATACCAGAATTTCTTTCTTCTTTTTCTTTACTCTCATTTTCTGATGAAGCTTTAATAAATGTGAAACACGTTATATTGATAAACGTTTCCTATTTGCTCTTTATCTTCTCATAGATAGATAGATAGATAGATAGATAGATAGATAGATAGATTGTGACACTATTGTGACACTGGTAGTATGAAATTAGGATTAAAATGGTTCATCTGAAAACCCCTTGTAGGGATTGGAAAATTGGAAGAGTTAAAAAAAGGTGAAAATATGAATTGAAATATGAAGCAAGGAAAAATAGAAATGCTTTTTTTCCTAATAAACTGATGGGCAAATGAAATTGTTATGAATCCGCAAGGCCAAAATGTAAACTCAGATTTTAAGGTCGATGACAAAAGAAAATTCTTTGACATCAGAAATATAGAAATAATTTTTAAACACGAAATTAATTGATATGAATATTGATGAGTCCTGGCGTGCAGTAGGAGTCGGGTGGAATACATAGAGAGTGCTTAGTTGGAGCCAGCACTTGGAGTCGGCAAGAGACTCAGGCGAGACGAGGCGAGACGAGACAGCAGCGGATGAAGGAGCTCCTGAACTCCACGTGACCTGCTGCCGACAGAACTCCTGACCGACCACCTTGTGATGGTGTTTTAACCCAAGTTTTAGAAGAAAGAGAGAGATAAAGTGTCACGATAGAGAGTTTAACGGGAAGGGGTTAATTTTGTTGTATCAACGACTATAAAAACCATTTGAAAGTTAATCCAGCAACCTTCTTCGTTATTTTGTTATGATCTTTGTATTTCCTCAGCGGAAGCGTTCTTTGTCCTTTGTAGCACGATTCAGCCGCAGCTCGTTTCAATGCTCAAGTACGGACGAAATTCGGTCTTCAATGCTCTGTGATCAAGGAACACAACGTGAGCCAGGAGAGATGAAGGAACGAAGCGGACGGCAGATGACCCTCAGTTGACTGGCAGCAATACTGACCAGCGTGGGAACAACCCGGGATCGGGCCGCGCCAGCTGTGTGATAGATAGATAGATAGATAGATAGATAGATAGATAGATAGATATGAATAGTTAGTTACACTATTTACATTGTTCGGAATGTTGTCCTCATCTTCGTTGCCATATTCACGACGTATCGGCCGTTGATGCCCCGTCCTTCTTCAGATGACTGGAATCTCAAAATGAACCCTTTATTTCGTCCACCGGCGTAGATTTTCCTAGTTCCACATTTCATACCTCTTCTGGGTGTCTCACTATCAGTTATCACCCTTTGATACAACTCCCTATGTTATTGTTCACCTCTGCTGTGGCCAGGTATTGAAGCCACTGGATTGAACCAAAGCTTTTGTCCATTAGGCCATATGTCCTTGAGGACATCAGTGTATGAATTTTGGGGACTTATAGACCTAATGAGTTGTGAGTTCAATATAAATAAAAAAAGTTTCTGTATGGATCAAATACCAAAAACAAACATAAACACACAGCTTCCAGGTAGACGCATATTTGATGGCACCGAAGAATTCTCTTTCCCTCTCCAAAAAAAAAGTGTCTCCTGCGTCTTATATATGAAATGAAGGTACCTACGTGTAGAACGCTTACCCAGATGACGTCAAAAACTAACTCCATAGTATTCTAATATTAAATATAAGTGCGAGAGTATCTTGTGTACCAAGAAATATAATAATTGAAGGACTTAAAAGTGATGTTGTTTAGAGGCTGAGAAACAGTCTACGCGGTCAAGACCTTTCGCGTTAGGATTTCTCTTTAAATTCAGACATTGCGACAACATCTACCGTATATACTCGCGTATCATGTGACTTTTGAAGACCTAATTTTGAAGCTAATTTTAAGAGGGTCGCATACATGAGATATAAAATTAGCATTTGTACTACTAGGCCTGGCTTATCTCTTAACAAAACTACATGTTATACTGGAACACACCTATTCTATAGTTAATAGACTCTCCCACCTATAATAAGTAGGAGTAGTAGTAGCAGTCGCTGAGTCGGCAAGAGTTGCTCAGTCAGTTGATGTCGGCGACCGTTAGTCGGATATTAAAGTATCATCCACCACAGCAAGATTGCTGCGTCATTACCTATTATATCAAGTTCCTAACGTTTTGTACGTCAAACCTATTTTAGGACCGATTTAGTACAAATAAAAGCTTCCACTGTGAAACCACTACATAACAATATATCATTTCACTGTAGTCAAAAAGTACAGCTGTATTTCAAATAAACATGATTTTGATAAAACTGATGTTTTATTTAACTATATTCAATAATAATGCATGTACTTTTTCACATATTAATATCTTATTATAAAATACAAACATAGTGAATATGTGTTTTTCCATTATTTACGTTTATAGGATGTTTAGCCGTTTCTCGTTCGGTTGTTTATGGCTGTACGCGTTTACGAAACGAGTATAGCGTTACTAACGATACTTTTATCATTCTTTTTTACTTTTGAATTTATTCAACTAGAAGATGGAATAAAGAGATAGAGGAAAAGAAGTTAGTCTATTGTAATTTAATCTCTCAAAAAAAAGGAACTCGCATGATACACGAGATGCCTGATAAAATCATATTTTATAAGTGAAAATTTGGCGTTCGCACAACACGCGAAATTGCACATTACATGAGTATGTACGGTAATTGAAATTAGAGCAATAAAAGGCTGGGCTCATAAAATCAGCTCAATTACGTTTGGCTAATACAAATTACACTTGTCGACATTCACTGAAAATTTCTATTAGAAATTATGCATAATCATCATTGCTTCTTCAAATAATTTGGAGGCTTTGCATTGAAAATTGTCTGTTGCATAATTTCCCTGTCGAGGGAAAGGACGCGCTTCCTGCTCTAAAGAAAATTCTGCTGAATTAACAAATTGTGACCATTTAAGAATTGATTTATTGTCATTTTTATCAACTCTCGAAGATTTATTTCTATACGATCCATAGAAAACATGTCAACTCGATGGAACCCACGTATCCGTAATCCTCACATAAATCGACTGGCACTTTAAAAGTTACAATAGAAGGGCGTCGTATAAGGATTATCAGGTCCTGAAAACAGAGTCGACGAACTGGTTTCGAATCCTGCTTATGAGTGCATATACCTCACTTTTGTTTTAATTCTCTTTGAAAAGGTAAGGACTTGGTTCTCCCCTGTGTTTTTTCTTATCACTAGTAACACTGACTTTGGTTTTATCCTTTACACACAAGAGAGAGAGTAAAGTGCGGCTGAGTTATTTTTTAAACAAGCTAAAGAATTATTAACGAATTTTTTTTTATTTTGAATGATGGAAAATCGCCTCTCAAAGAATTTAGCTTTTACAGTCGAGTTTCTACGAGCAAACACCGTCAAATATATGATTAACTGCTTCCTGTTAGAAGAGGCAATATTGACTCGTTTTCTCTTGTCACTTGAATTACGTTTCTTCTGTTCTTTTAGATCCTATTTCCAAGATGGATGGATTTCTCTCTAAATTCTGTGAATGTAACGCAGTGGAATCTCCAATATTTTTTTTTTTTCTGAGCTTTTACTTGATCCTATAAATTTAGAGAATCGTTCTCATCGTTCTGGACAACAAAAGCTGACCGTATTTTCTTTTGTATAATACGGCTTTAATATAATACGACCCCGTGTTTCTGAAGCTAAAAACATGAAATAAATTAAATCCTTTCGTATAATACGTAGTACAGGCATCTCTATATAATTTTTTCTTAGTAAAGCTATACCATATTATCCATTAAAATCACAATGTCGTACATATATTTCACTAAAATGTACAAAACTGAACCGAATGTTTAGCCATTGCATATTTCAAATTAACGTTTCAAAAAAAGATTTCTTTTTCATGTTTTCTTCAGCACAGGACTTGGTTTTAGAGCAATATCACCGAATGCTTGAACTGCCTTTGAATGCCGTCCCATTGTTGTATGGATCTCAGATCTCTTGAAGCATTTCAGGTACCCCTTTTGTAGAGAGACCGTTACAGATTTCTGATAGTTGCTCTCGACTTTTCTGTCCCTATCTTAGAAAATAATTATTTGTTTGCTTCTTAGAAATATGCTTCTGATACTGATCACCTGCAATTGTTATATGTCAGCGTTGTCACTTAATTTCAGCCGATGTTGTAGATAGCGAACAATGTCTTTCTTTATGCCATATGTATAGTAGGAATTGAATTTCAGCTATTGTCAGGTAAATGCTGTCTTACGGTATTTGAGTGTCTTGAACCTATGCACTGTACGAATTAATATGTATGGAAAGCAAGGGATGGACATCAACACCTTTGGAATAAAGTCAAGACAATAACACTAGAGTTTGGCTGAAAGAAGCCATGTAAATGTTAGGTTCTGACAACCTCCTCAGTAGACCTAGCATAAAGATAAACACTATGAACTCATATAGATCCATCTTCTGAAAGGAAAGAGCACTCATATAGATCCATCTTCTGAGACGAAACATTAGGTTTTCGGTCTCAAAATTAGACTAGTGGTTTGTCTACAAGACATATTCCTTCGTGTATTAAAACGGTGGCGAAATATATCCTTTCCTTGCGTTTGTGAGTTCAATCCCTGCATTCGATAGTACTGGAAAGTTACATACTCTGGTTCAGTTTAAAGAACGATACAAAGAGCCGAGTTCCAATTCGCGTTAAGTTCGTTATATTACCTTATGCGCAAATTCCCTTGGAAAAGATATGGATCTACCTCCCCCAGATATGGGTTAATAAGTATGACTTGTACCGCTAAATCATTATTATTCAAAAAAATTCTTACAATCTAAAAATAACTTTTTGGTGGCTTTAAATAACATGCAAAATGTTGATAAGCCATAGAAAACGAATCAACCAATCAGGTAACGTCAGTTGAAATTAACATTTTCGGTAGGCCTAGCAGAAAAAAAAACTATATTGGAGCCATTTATAAAAAAAAAAAATCAGAAACAACAGGAAGGCTACAACGGGAAGAGCTGCGATATGGAAAGATAAGCGACAGCGAAGGCGATCAAATGTGGCAGCAGCAGCAGGGTCAGCAGCTGACAGGCAATAAGAACATTACGTCTAACATTAGGCGTGCATTCTTGGTTTGAATGTCTTTCCAATGTATTTCTATATTAAGCTATCACCAGTATAGTAACGTTACACATATAACAACCATATTGAGTAAGTAGTTAAATGACTCGACCGGTGTGTATTTTTTTTTTATTCCTTACTTGTCATGACAGGTGTCCTTGCAAGCGAGTTTACTAAAAGTTTGCCAAATGCGACAGCTGAAAGTTGAAGCGGCCAGTAAGCTGTTGTAAAAACAACAAAAGATTTGTGGTCTGATTAAATTAAAAATGACATTCAGTTTTTGTTTGTTTTGTTTGTTTGTTTTTTTTTGTTGTTTTTTTTTTGTTTTTTTTATTTTCCTTTATTTGGTTTCTTTGTATTTTTATAAATATTTTTTACACTCATTCTCTCTTCTCATGTTTCCCTTTCCCTCTACTTTTCACTCTTCCTCTCCAATTTCCATCTCTCTCTCTCTCTCTCTCTCTCCCTCTCTCTCTCTCTCTCTTTCCATACCTTTATCTCCCTCTCCACTTTCTTTATTTCGTTTTTCTCCTTTCTCTATTTCGTTTTTCTTTCTTTCTTTCTTTCTTTCTTTCTTTCTTTCTTTCTTTCTTTCCACCTCCCTATTTTTATCCTCTTTTTCTTCATTCCCCTGTACCGTTCCAGCAAGTAACTGACTCCTCCTGCTAACCTATAAATTTACAAGAGTCAGATCAGGCCGAAAATGGAGTATTGCTGCCATACATGAGCAGGCGCTGCCCAGTTTTCACTTTCCACTCTTGGTAGTCCAAAAACGTCTCCGCGTCCTTGTAGGCGACGAACTATATTCCACTCTCCAACCCCCTTTCTCACAGACGTAAGCCTCTCGCTGTTCTATCGCTTTTTCCATGGAAAATGTCTAAATGAACTACACTCCTTAGTTCCACCAGTTCTAACCTTTATGGCCAAGACCCGCCAAGCCACGCATATTGGAACGAACCGAATTATTCCCTTCGTGTTCCATTGGTGAGATTCTTCGACTCTGGCAGCTTCTTTCCACGAAGCGACTTCCAAGAGGAGGCTTTCGCGATCACTATAATCTTAACCTGTTCATGTCAAGGGGTAACCACACGTATCTGCATAAACTGTGCTTTTTACTCTGTAATCCTCTACATCGAATGGCGCTCTAGCCTTATAGAGGGTGGAAATCAATGTAAAAAAATTTCAAACTTTTTATTCATTCCTTTTTTTTGTCAGTTTCACCTTTTTTTTATCGTTTTTATTTGTTTTCGACTTTCGTTTTTTCTTACTTTCTTTTTTCTTACTTCCTTTCTTCTTTCTTTTCTTCTTTCTTTCTTTTTTCCTTTCTTTCTTTCTTTCTTTCTTTCTTTCTTTCTTTCTTTCTTTCTTTCTTGCTTATCCACATTCTCACCTGTTTCCCTCACTCCATGTCTCACTCCCTTTCTCTTCTCATTCCCCTTCTTTTATCTTCGTATCTGATCTTTCTCAATCTCCCATCCTATTTCTTTTATTTTAGCTTTTTCCGTTTACTTCCTTCCTGCCTTTTCTTCGCTCTCTCTCTCTCTCTCTCTTTCGCTCCTGTTTCTTTCCCCCACTCTCACTATCTTCCATTTCCCCTACCTTTTGCATCCATATCTCTCTCTTTCTTTCTCTTTCTATTTCATTTGTGTAATTCTTTCCTTCTTTCTTTCCTCCTTTTTCCCCTTTTCTCTACATCTCACTTCCACAATTCGCATCTGATTTCTCTTACCTCTTTTCTTCTTTTCCTCTTTTCTTTTTTTCTTCTTTTCTCCTTTTTTTTCTTTTCTTCTTTTCTTTACTTCAACGCTATCTGAAGTTAATTTTAGAATTTATTTTAACGATACATTCTTTTCTTTCGTCTACATGATGAATTATTTCGTGGACATATTTTGATGTTGAGGCATGGAATTCTGGAAACTATATTGATTGTGTGACGCGCAAAGTGGATTCGGTGATCTGAGTTCAAGTTCTGTCTTAGTCTGTTACATTCACTTTCGTACTAATACCCTTGGAAAAGTCATTAATCTCGTTCGTTTCACACCCACCAACTACGGGTGAAACAGCCGGGAAGGCTGGCTCTCTAGTGTAAGGCGACAGCCATTTTCGAACAGTTCCGAATTCGAAACAGTGAAGAAGGAAAGCAACAAGAAACCACTCCCCTATTAAATGTCACGGCAATTCGCAGACATTAAAAACGAAAGGAATCTTGAAGAGCAATAATTATAATGTCACTCTTTATCTACTGTCCTCATCGTTACTGTTTTATTGTTATCAGTCCTTAATAAAGTTTTTGTATTCTAATTTTCCGGACACAGTAACCCCCTGTTTCTTAATGGCATTACTGCCTTCCTTAGGGTGAACACGATTAAAAAAATACATCGATAGAACTCAATCTCTATCATTTCAAGTCTCTTCTTTATATGTGAAGAGATTGTCCAGTTGTCACGGTTTTATACAAAATTAGATATTACATAGCAGTTCAGCACTCTTCTCTTTGTTTCTAATGACATTTTCTCTTAATACTTTGCTTAGTTTATGAAAGGCATGAGGAGATTTTACAAAATTCTATGCCATATAGGAGATTATATATTATATAGCAGTTCAGCACATTTTTCTTTGTTTCCGACGACACTTTCCTATCTCTTAATACTTTGCTTAGTTTATGAAAGATATGAGGAGATTTTACAGCATTCACTGCCATATAGGAGATTAGATATTACATAACAGCTTAGCTCCCTTTTTTTTTTTTCTAACGACATTTTCCTATCTCTTAATATTTTGCTTAGTTTATGAAAGTCATGAGGAGATTGTCCAGCATTCATTGCCTTATAGTGGAGACATTTTCCTATCTTTTAATACCTTGCTTAGTTTCTGGAAGCTATTATTCGCTATTCATTTGCGTCTCCGAAATTTTGTATCGCATTATACATCATCTTTTTTAACCCTACCCAGATAGATCAATTTCCGTACTTGCTTGATTTTGATGTCCTCAATTCGCAGACCACACCTTGGCCGTGCCTTTTGCAGACCCCCATGCATCCTTTCTTCTCACAATCATGTTACTTTACTATGTCGATGCCCTTCCTTACCAGTACAAAAAAAAATCGACACAAAAACATCCCCAAATCTAAAATAGCCCAATTTTCAAAGTTCAAATAACTAACGTTGATTGTCTGTTTAATGGCACATCAACTCCTTATGTGTATTTAATGCCGAAATTTAATTTTCTTAGGTTCCAGAGGCGGATATGCAATATGGTTGGCCCTGCCCTGGCGTCTCGTCTACAGTCACTTTCTCACAGATGCGCCGTCGCCTCCCTCTGTCTGTTCTACAAATACTTTCATGGAAATTGCTCCGAGGAGCTGCATTCGCTGGTTCCCAGACGTCATGAGTTCCAGCGCCTTACGAGGCTGGCATCCAGCTCTCACCCCTTCACTGTCGAAACTCCTAAATGTAGCCGTCTCTTCTACTCTAATAGCTTCATGTCTCGCACCTCTCGCCTGTGGAACTCCCTTCTCTTTTCCTGTTTCCCTGTGAGCTATAATCTCCAGCTATTCAAGTGTAATGTCAATCGACATCTCCAGTTGCCTTAATCTATCCACTACCCTCATCATTTCTTCTATCACTCCTATCTGATCTTGCTCTAAATTTTCTGTAACCCCTTGCGTCCTAGTGGCTTCCCGCCTTGCTTGGGGTGAAATGCTTAAAAAAAAAGAGCTTTAAAATAATAATTAACGTAAATTGTAGGATATTATATGGATTAATGTCATGAAAGAATTCCTGTTGGTTCTTTGGTATTATTTTAATCAGATTTGGCTGAATCGCCACAATCTGTTAGTATGCTAATTTTTACAATAAATATAGTAATTTTTTTAAATTATATAAAATTGTGTTATTTGTATTTTTACTATAAAAATGTATTTTTATACTTTTATATGTCTTGTTTTTGTTGGGGGTTTACTATTTTCCCATAGCTGGGACCATAAAAGGTGCTAAAATCCCGAATCAGTGTGGACCTGGGAACAACAGCAATTGAGAGATGGTTCCATGCTCCTCAAACCTCTACTCTCTCGATCAGAGACCTTCCTAACGGATGTCGTTTATTGTCAGAAAAAAACTAACAAGATATCAGGATCAATATTCGAGTAATTCTACGACACTGAATACGTGCAATTTCTTTTGTATATGAAAACAAAGAAATAAAAAATAGATAATACATTTTTATGACACCTTACTAAGGAAACCTGAAATTCAATAATTTCAATTTATTCTTTAATATTTAGAGTAGCAAGCTGGTTTTAATCAATTTCTCTG